GCAAAAAAAAAAAAAACAAAAAAGAAAAGAAACATAATATATACTTATATATATGGATACAGATATAAGCAAACGTATCAAAATGTTAACAACTGGTGAATCCAGGCAAAGGGTATGCAAGTATTCACTGTACTGCTCTTCCAATTATATGTTTGAACAAACACTTAAGAATATAAATGGCCATTAATATGAAAAGGTACTCAACATCAATATTCATCAGAGAATTTAAATTAAAACTACAATGAGAACACATAATGACCAGTGAACAGCAAAAATCAAAAGGACTGGGGCACCTGGGTGGCTCAGTCATTAAGCATCTGCCTTCCGCTCAGGTCATGATCCCAGGGTCCTGGGATCGAGCCCCACATCGGGCTCCCTGCTCCACGGGATGCCTGCTGCTCCCTCTCCCACTGCCCCCCGCTTGTCCTCCCTCTCTCACTGTGTCTCTGTCAAATAAATAAAACCTTAAAAAAAAAAATTCAAAAGGACTGATAAAACCAAGTGTGGGCAAGGACACAGAGCAACATAAACACTCATACATTATTGGTGGGAACAGAATATGGCACAACCATGTAGGACAACTGTTTGGCAGCTTCTTATAAACATGCATCTATTTGTGCCAGGAGTTGACAAAATACCACCCACCCACAGGCTAAATCCAATCTAAAGACAGTTTTGGTTTGGGGGGGGTTGTTTTGATTTTTTTATAGCCCCCCAGAATGGTTTTTACATTTCTAAAGGGTCAGAAGAAGAAAAAGAACATGCAAAGGAGACCATACAAAGGAGACCTGCAAAGTCTAAACTATATTTACTCTCCAGACAAACAGATTGACTGTCCCAACAGGAAAAGGCTGCTTTGCCTCTCATTTACCCTATGACCCAGCAATTCCACTCCTAGGTATTTATCTAGGAGAAATGAAAGTATATGTTTACACAAAGACTTGTACTCGTTTGTTTATAGAAGTCTTGCTCCCAATAGCTAAAAAATGGTGGATGTGTCTAATAAGCTTATCCTAAAATTAACACGGAAGAGCCAAGAAAAGACAATACTGAAGACAATTTTGAAGAACAGGAGAAAGGGGACCAATGGAAAAACTGCATAATCATCTGTAAAAGCCAATTTTTTTCCATTACACATTGTCTGCAAGGTAGTTGGTTTTCTTTGTGTGACTTATCACACAATATTTGTAGTAACTGTTAGCCTTTTTCCCCTGCTTAAATGTTAAAAAAAAAGTTGTGGGGGCATCTGGGTGTCTCAGTCATCAAGCGTCTGCCTTCGGCTCAGGTCATGGTCCCAGGGTCCTTGGATGGAGCCCTGCATCCGGCTTCCTGCTCAGCGGGATGCCTGCTTCTCCTTCTCCCACTCCCCCTGCTTTTGTACTCCCTCTCTCGCTGTCTGTCAAAAAATAAAATCTTAAAAATAAATAATGTATTATAATATCTGGTAGACTTATTTCCTTTCTACTTTCAGCAAAAAGTGACTAAAAGTCTTTAAAATATGAAACTACCATCTCTGCTTTAGAAGGATATGAAAGACCATCTTAAAACTTAGACCATCTCTTTTGAAACTAGTTTTTTCAAAGCCTGGAAAGGGACAGTCTAGCTCTAGATCAGAATGTTACAGGTGAGAGAGTCTGTGTTCTGTGAACAGAGGTCTCGGTACTTAGATTCACCACAAGAAGATTTACATGAGGACCTGCATTCTAATGAAGACAGCTTGAAAGTAGCAAGTGCAAAGCACTTTATTAAAGCAGAAAGTACAATCTCAAGGTGGGAGAGCAGGCAAGCTCCCAGAGGTCTACTTGGCCTCTGGGTTGTTTTGGGATTGGATGTTACTGGGTCTCTCTGGGCTGGGAGGAGCTGTGATGGACAGTGGGGTGGTCTCTAACCTAAGGGGCTTCCAATCATTTAGGAAACTCCTCCCACAGGTTGGAAAGAGGAGTTTTTGACCCTACAAGGTTAGTATCTGTCAAGGCAGCCTTTCTCCAAGGGGCGGGGGGGGGGGGCCTCTCCCCACAACGCAAATGCATCATGAGTCTAGTCGTTACCCTGGGGCAGAGGTGGAAGAGAAGAGCACCAAGTTCTGCACCTGTGGCTCTTTCGTCTGTCAACCACAAGGTCTTGGAAGCCACAAGGTCAGGATGTTGTGCTCCTGGACTTTTAATGTGTAGCTTATTTATCCCCATCCTTGCCTCCAGCTCATGTCTCTATCATTCCCTTTGAAGGACTTGGGACTCTGTCTCAGGGCACTCCTTCCACTGGTCCTAGCTTCTACCTAACAAGAATACAAAGCTAGAGATTTAAGAATGGGAAAGGTAGTCATGCTATCGGGGGCTAGAATACCAACACTGAAATATAAACATGAAAAAAAAAATCACAATATAAATAATTTTGGACAATCCATGCCAACAGTCATCTTCATGAGAACACAGAATAGAGAACTACCTGTATTTTGATATGAGAAAAATAAGTGAAAGGTTACTATCAGACTTGATGTAAAAACGGTGAATGTCCACAATTCAAACCTTTTTCTCTCTCAATTTATCCATGAATGAAAACACCTCACGAGCTAACACAATCAAAATGAACACAAGACAAAAAAGAGGGTTGGTTTTGTTGTTGTTGTTGTTTTTAAGATTTTTTTAAGTAATCTTTCCACCCAACATAGGACTCAATCTCACAAACCCAAGATCAAGAGTCGCACACTCCAACAGAGCCAGCCAGGCATCCCAAGAAGAAGGAATTTTAAATCTATTACTAGCCTGATGGTGACACAAACTTTTTTCTAAAGGAGTTTGCTGTTGATAACTGCCTTAATTTAATGATCAAGAAAGAGATTAAAGTAACAGTTTTCTCAGTATTTCATGAATATCTTGTAAGGAATATAAACTACTATTGAAGTTATCAGTTAAAACAAATTATTAGTAAAGAGGCCAGAAACCAATATTAAACAAAAAAAACTATATACACAAAATAAGTTTATTTAATTGCTTGATTTAATTGCTTTTAAGTAAACAACTATTTTAAATGCATCTGTCAAATAAACAAGATAAGTACCTAACCTTTATTTTCAGGAAATTAGAGAAGCTTCCAATGGTTCTCTTCTTTTTTTAAAGAAGGAAGACAGTCACAATAAAGCTAAATGAACATAGTTCTAGATAAAACAAGAAATCACAAATATTGAAAATCCTCTGTATTGTATTACTATACAATAAAAGCTGACATTACCAATAGGTACTGTTACCAAAAGTAGTATGCAAGAATGAAAAACACTAACTTAAAGTACAACTACTTATATTTCATCCCCCAAAGTTCCAAAAATTTACATTATTTTCTCATGGCATTTTTTTCTACTCCTTCATCGTTTACTACTGTTAAAAATGCCTGCTGTGGTTAAAAATCCCCAATAAAATAATGTATCATTCACTGCTTTATACTACTCCTTGTGTTCATGTCCAATTAGTATTAGCCTATCCTTCTTTTATCAAACTTTCAGCTGAACACGAAGCATTTATGAAGGTTAAACAATTAACTGGAATTCAGCTGTGGGAAAATGTGCTCTCATAAGGCAGCACGGTATAAACATCTCATCAATCTGTGAATGGAACTTCCTCAAGCTTTGCTCAAATCTACTTTGTAGTCAGCAACCAGTCCAGCAATTTTTAAACTCTAGATTTTTAAAACCTTGGGAAAAAGTTTAGACACATATTAAAGACATCATGATGCTTCCATTTTGCTTAATACAGGAGTGAATAATTAGATTTTTTTTGTAACTGTGTATATCCTTTCCAGGCCGGGGTGGGTGGGGGGAAGAACTTACTTTGTTTAACTACAAATAAGGTCCTGTTTCAAATAAAGCAAAAATATACTTACGGAACTAGCATCAACATCACTATGGATGGCAACCGTCTTAATGCCCATCTTCTTGCAAGTTTTAATAACCTATTTTAAAATACATAAACATTATCTATTAACAAGGATTTGGATTTAAAGGGATTTAATAATAAAATTCACAAAGTAAAATGGAAAATAAGATTAAAATTCTACTCACCCTACATGCAATTTCTCCTCTATTAGCAATAAGAATTTTATCGAAAGTCTAAAAAGAGAAAAAACACACATAAGAAATTGTTACTCTCACTTTGAAAAACAAGCTTTCCCACAACACTGGACATGATCCTAAAAAACATTACTTCCTACAGTAATATTAAATATTATACATATGTTCATCTACAACCAGGTTGCTACTAAACTTATCTGGTAGGATCTGGCCCTATAACTACTCTGTAAAAGCATCAACTGATTAGGTTCGGTAAATCATAAGTGGACTATATAAATTCTCTTGCCAAAAGATAATCTTCAAATGATATTTCTGAATGCTAAAAAAATTTAAATAGAATTGCTTGACCACTTACTCAAAAATTTATATTCTAAATTCAGGGAAATTCTCAATGTCATGAGTTGTTTACCGAAGGAAAGTTTGATGTAATTTTTACACCATCTTTGTTGGGCATTAAATGATATTTTCAGTAACTCAGAATAGAAACTAATTATGCTTATACCCAAAGATTCCCAGACCAAGCAGGTTATGCTAGTTGAATACAATGTTAAGTTTGAATAACCATATTTTGAAGCAGCTGAGGCCTCATAATAGAGTAGTTCCATTCTGTGTGAAGCTCTTAGAGACCTCAATTCTAAGCCCAGCTTTGCCACTAACAATAACCTATCTGACTTGAAGCAAATCAATCTCTGTAGGTCTTTACTCCCACATATAAACTGGTAACATTCTAAGGGGAAACTATTTAATAAGGTTCTCTTACTATTCTAAAATTGTACAGGCTAATCCTGTTAAAGAAACACACAATTACAAGTAATTTGGATACATTTTAATACACAATTATTTCTGGGTTAGTAAATTGTTATAAGTTAAATAGAACTATAGAAAAAGTTTTAGTTACATTTCCAAAAGAAAGTTAAAGCTATATATGATCTTAAAAGTCCTCTAATATAACTGAAAGCAATATTTTAACCCAACAGGGAGTCACAATCTCAGCATTGGAAAAGGCTTTCAAAGTCTTGGTTTAACCTTCATGTCACACATGCCTTATTCCACCAAACTGAGACAAGCCTCTGCCTTAAAAATTGGTAAATTCCTAATCTGATAGAATCCTGAATCATTCAGAGTCTTGAGCAGATGGACCCTTAAAATACCCTAATCTCACCTCAAGCCTGAGACTGCAAAATCATCTGCCATTCGATACCCACATGGTCATGGTAAATCCCTGCTGAACAGTAAGAATATACAAGAATTTACAGAATATACAAAGAAAAAAAGTACACTTCTTTGAACCACATCTTAAAATGTACATTTTTATAAGTATTAAACAGATGACATCTGATAAAAACAGCACAGTGAAGTTATACATGCAGCAACTGTTACAGCAAATACAACAAATTATATAACATTACAAGGATTAAGAATTCCATCTTAATTTTTATCTGAGTGGCAGAATATAGTTAAGAGCCAGTCTGGAACTAAAGTGCCCAGGTTGGAATCCCAACACTACCATGTGTTCTTGTGTGAGCAAACGACCCTTTTTTTTTTCTCCTCCCTTCCAAGTTTTTACTGAATTCAAGTTAGTTAACACAGAGTGTCGTATTGGTTTCAGGAGGAGAATGCAGTGATTCATCACTTACATCTAACAGCCAGTGTTCATCACAAAAGGGCAAGCCACCCCTCTTGACCGTCATTTCTTAGTATGTAAGAGTAAGAGTGGCACCTGCCAAAAGAGGCTGAGAGAGCAGGAATCAACACCCTTCAAGTTTAGAGTAGTGCCCAGCGTACAGTATATTCTCAAGAGGTGTTCGCTACAGCTGTTCTTCACTCCTCTGGGCCACACACCACACTGTTTTTGACAAATCTAGGAGTGTGAACCTACCGAACAGGGAAAAATCTGTATCAAAACGAGTATCTGCACCTAACGCGTCTTCTCTGTGCAGGGCTTGTGACAGTTAATTTTTCACACAACCGGACGGGGCCACAGGGTGCCCAGATGAAACGTTATTTCTGGGTGTGTCTGTGAGGGTGTCTCCAGATGAGACTAACATGTGTATCAGTGGACTCAGCCCTGTACACTGCCCTCCCCAACGTGGGTGAGCATTATCCCATCCATGGAGGGCCCGAGAGATAAAAAGTAGAGGAAGGGAGTGTTTGTTCTGCTTTCCTGGTTGAGCTGGGTTATGGGTCTTCTCCTTCCTGGGACTTACTGACACCATTGGTTCCCAGGTCCTCAGGCCTTTGGACCTGGACTAGAATTACGCCGCCAGCTCTCCTGTGTCTCTGGCTTGCAGGGCGCAGATCATGGGACTTGGCCTCAATTGTGAGCCAGCAGATCTCCATATTATCTCCTACTGGTTCTACTTCTCTGAAGAACCCTGACTAATACAGGACTATTAATACCAATTAGTACACAAGCTAAATAAAGCTGACCATATCAATTAACTTTCCATACATAAGATATTCTTATGTATATTTATTTAAATATACATATATGATTCAGGGTTTAAAAGGTACCAAAGGTGATATACTATAGAGACACCCAGGTCTTTGCTCCAAAGGTAACTGCTATTACCAGTTTCCTGTATATTCTTTCAGATAAGCTATGATTATAAAAGAATATATATACAAATAAATTTATACCAATTTTAAAATTCCCTCCATATCAAAAATTACAGGGAAACATCAAGTGCATTTGACAACTTGAATGTACAATTTGGTGCCATCACAACAAAATGTGGTTAAGTGCTATAATACAACTACAGCCAAGAGGCTGTGGTCAGTGCAGAGAAGGAAGAGTGAACAGCATGTGCAAAGGCAGGGGCATTGAAAGCACAGGGCAACACTGAAAAACAAGTAATTTTTTTAAAGATACAGCTGGGGAGGGGGGAGTGGGAGGGAGAGAGACAATCCCAAGCAAACTCCCCTGACACGGAGCCCAATGCAGGGCTCGATCCCAAGACCCATGAGATCGTGACCTGAACCGATATCAAGAGTCAGAAGCTTAACAGACTGAGCGACCCAGGCACCCCAATGAGTAGTTTTTAATATAGCTGAAGCACAAAATACGTGCAGGGGAGTTGTAGCAAACAAAGCTAGGGTAAAAAAAAAAAAAAAAAAAGATTATGAAAGGACTTATATGCCATTTAAGGAATTGGACTTTATCCTGTATGTGGAGAGTCACATGTAAGGCACTCTAAAGGTATTCTAAGGGAAACAAAACAACCTTTAAATCAAGAACCTAAATCCTGAAGACAGAAGGGCGCTCAGGTACCATGAGAGATAAAGAAGGACTTTTGCAGCAGTGGTTCTATAACTGTGCTAATGAGGTCACCCATGGTAAGAAACACAATGGATATTTCCTGAGGATTTTTTTTTTTTAAGTTATCTCCTCTTAATTCCATTCTCTATCCCTCCTTCCTTCTGTCCACATACTTGTATCTTCATAGCTAGGGTCTAAAACCACCAAGGACCCTTCACTCCATTCAGAGCCTGAGAGAAAGGCTGAGCTGGCCCGTTCCCCCGGGTACTTGAAGGAATGACCACAGAACTCCACACAGTCCCTTACCAACACTTCCTTTTTTTTTTTTTTTCAAGATTTTATTTATTTATTTGAGAGAGAGAGAGAGACAGCGAGAGAGGGAACATAAGCAGGGGGAGTGGGAGAGGAAGAAGCAGGCTTCCCGCTGAGCAGGGAGCATGATGCGGGGCTCGATCCCAGGACCCGGGCATCATGACCTGAGCCGGAGGCAGACACTTAACGACTGAGCCACCCAGGCGCCCCCCTTACCAACACTTCTGACAAGGAGTCTACCACAATGGGTAAATCTACTGCCTCAGGAGAAGCCCAGGCTTGAATTTATAACCCACTTACACTTACTATCTGTGCATTTTGAGCCTGTTTCCAAATGTACAAAACCGAGCTGTTAAGACTACTATTAAGCAGGGGCACCTGTGTGGCTCAGTCGGTTAAGTGTCTGACTCTTCTCAGCTCAGGTCTTGATCTCAGGGTTGTGAGTTCAAGCCCCACATTGGGCTCTACACCAGGCATGGAGCCTACTTAAAAAAAAAAAAAAAAGACTAATATTAAGCATTAAGCAGCTGACATTTAGGACACATGCTTTCTACATGCCAGGTACCAGGACACATCCCTTCTGTGCACTCTCTCATTTCATCCTCACAAGAGTCCTAGGAGGTCAGTTGAGAATATTCCCAATTTACAAATGAGAAAACTAAGGCTTGATGAGGCCAACATCTGCTTAAGTCACTTAACAAAGTTCACAGGGGTAAAGCCAGAGCTCACACCCAGATATTCATGTCAAAACACACCAGGATGTAACATGATCAATGGTACAAGCTTTAAACACTGTATTAATAATTATAATTTATAAACAAATTAAGATCACATTTGTCATGCCAGGCATGCCGTAGTACTATCCTGGCTCACCCTAACTTAAGGCCTACTACAACCTCCTGGTCTTTTTCTAAGCAGATCACTATTAAATCTTCCCTATTCTTATGAACATACCTGAAACAAGTTGACATGTTAAGACTCAAATTGAAAAAATAGTATTTTTAGTAATTAAATTTTACCTGATTTCGACTGGGTATGAGTCGCTGATAAAATGTGGAGTGAAAAAAGGAGTCAAAGGCAAGTTCAGATGACAATCAATTTATTTAACAAATAAAGATCAGATCTACCTGCATTTAAAACAGGAACAATAAAGGAGAACAAAGAGTACCGTATTTAATGAATGGTCATAAGCAAGAATTCCTAGAAGTAGAAAGGCCCTCTACATGAGGGCAAGCCTTCAGTTTGGTCTGAAAGTCCAACACCAGTAACCACCACTAGGTGCCAAAAAGTATCATAGACTTTGTCAAGACTGAGCACACTACACAGTTTCTCCACAATTACCTCAGAAAAAGGTACAGCAAAGGAGATGGCAAATGATGTGGGGAACAAAGGCAAAAGAAACATAGAAAAAAATTTAACTTCCTTACAACTTATGGCCCACTGACAAGTGCTTGGGACAGGCAGAGTGACCTTCCTCCAGGAATTCAACTGCCTCAATATCAGTACTTTGCTAGAAGCAAAAGGCAACCTTAGCTTGACATCACCCCACCCCCAGTATCCTGTAAGTCTTCTTTAGTATAAAAAAAAAAAAAAAAATCCCTTTGAAAATTTCCTTTATCTCTACCTCCCACCCCAAGATGTATGTTAGCAATCATCCTCCAAACATGTGGCCCACTGATATCCACCTGAAGGGTCTCATGACTAAGGTTTTACTAGACTATAGTATATGACGCTCAAGGTCCTAGAAACCTAGCTTCCAAATTCCTTAGACACTTCTGCTATCCCTAAGCCCCTCCCAACTTGAAAGTATATAATCAGTTCCTCCTCGCAACCCCAGTGTACCTCTTTCTGCCCACGGGTCCAGTCCCCCTGCTTTCATAAAACCATTTTTGCACGTCTCAAGAATTCTTTCTTGACCATTCGCTCCCAGACCCCAACATCTCACATCGGCAAAGATAGCAGGCAGATCTGATTTCAGACATTTACAACAAAACGTGTACCTTAGTAGATTCCAAGGAGAGGGGAGGAGCTCTTTAAATTTCCTAAACCGATAGTTATATATACACTTATTTTTAGTAATTATCAATGGCCACCAACGTGAGGGGTGAATCAGCTATTATTGTAAGCTCACTATGAGGTTATGGCAAAAACAAGTCTCAAACCAAACTCCACCACACATACATTTATGAACAAAAATAAAAAGGATCTTAAGTGGGGCACCTGGGTGGCTCAGTTCTCTAAGCATCTGCCTTCGACTCCAGTTGTGATCCCAGAGTCTTGGGATCCAGCCCCACATTGGGCTCCCTGCTCCGCAGGGAGTCTGCTTCTCCCTCTGCCCCTCACCCCACTCTTGTGTTCTCTCTCTCAAAAAATAAAATCTTTAAAAAAAAAAAAAAAAGGCATTAAAAAGGATCTTAAAATTTGCTGGATAAGCTCAGGGAAGGCTCAACTTCCTTCACTCTGTAATGCTCCAACAGACTGCATGAAAGTTTCACCTGAGGCAAATACATCAATATTCTGATTTGGCTAGCCATACTGTCAGACTCAAGCTATGGAGAACCCCCAGACAAGCAGCTAAACACAGGACATCATTTAGGGATCAAGCATAGGTTCTATCTTAAAGGTAAAGAATGGAAAGCCAACTAGACTATTACATTCTGCTACTTCAGCAGCTAAGAACTGGTATTAATACCCAGAACACGTATCTTGCCTTTCATCAATGACAGCCCATTTCTAACACCTATTATACTAATGAGGAAGGCTACCAGAGTTAACAGGGAGAAAGATAGCTGAACCCTTTGTAGTATACCATACCGCCCCCACACTGGAATATGACCTCTAGTACAAGTACTAGCTAACCACCCCTAGAGTGTTTCTAGTTAGGACAGCTCACTACCTCTAAATTGGAACTCAGCATATGTGTCCAGAAATGCACAGACATACATGCATCCCAAGGCATACTGTCTATGCTGAAGTTTTCATATTAAACCATGGATTTCAGGGCACATGTGTGGCTCAGTCAGTCAAGCATCCAACTCTTGGTTTCAGCTCAGGTCACGATCTCATGGGTCATGGGACAGAGCCCCACGTCCGGCTCCATGTTCAGCAGGGAGTCAACTTGAGATTCTCTCCCTCTACCCCTCCCCCTAGTCACTCTAATAAATCTTTAAAAAATTAAAAAACATAAATTTCATAACAGGGAATTAATCACAGCTAATTCATTTGGACCAGTGCTGTCCAATAAAGTAACCACTAGCCACAAAAGGTTACTGAGCTCTTCAAATGTGGCTAATCAAATCAAGTGCCAGAAGTGTAAACTATACACTAGATTTAGAAGGTTGAATGTAAAGTATCTCACTGATACTTTTTATATTGATTATCTATTGAAATAATACTTTAGAGAGTTAAAACATACTATTAAAATTTTTTAATGTGACTATTAGAAAATTTAAAATGATATGCCCTGCAATTGTGTCCACATTATATTGCTATTGAACTATGATGACCCTTTCTTCAAGCCTCCAGAATTTTTTAAGATTTTATTTATTTGTCAGAGAGAGAGAGAGAGAGAGAGAGAGAGCGAGAGAGAGCGAGAGCACAAGCAGGGGGAGTGGGAGAGGGAGCAGCAGGTTCCCTGCTGAGCAGGGAGCCGGATGCAGGGCTCGATCCCAGGACCCTGGGATCATGACTGAGCCACCCAGGTGCCCCAAGCCTCCAGATTCTTTTTTTTTTTTTTTAAAGATTTTATTTATTTATTTATGAGAGACAGAGAGAGAGAGAGAGAGAGAAGCAGAGGGAGAAGCAGCCTCCCAAGGAGCAGGGAGCCTGATGCGGGACTCGATTCCAGGACCCTGGGATCATGACCTGAGCCGAAGGCAGACGCTTAACCATCTGAGCCACCCAGGCGCCCTTAAGCCTCCAGATTCTTTTGAGTAGTTTTATATACTTCAAGAGATTATTTAGAAGATACCTTCGCTACTTCATTCTCAAACAATCATTCACCAGTTCTACCTTCATGATATTCAACTTGAACCATCTACTAACCAAAACTCCCTCCTGCCCTCTTTGAGGCCTTCACTGTCACAAATTATGTTTTATCTCCACAATCACCACTTCAAAAATTATCAATTTCAATAGATAATCAATATAAAAAGTATCAGTGAGATATTTTAAATTCAAACCTTCTAAATCTAGTGTAGATTTTCAAACCCCGTTCTCATATTATAAACTTCAACCATTGACCTGTATCAGGATTTTCATTGGAATTCCCTTGTCCCTTGGGGCGCCTGGGTGGCTCAGCCGTTAAGGGTCTGCCTTCGGCTCAGGTCATGATCCCAGAGTCCTCGGATCGAGCCCCGCATCGGGCTCCCTGCTCAGCAAGAGGCCTGCCTCTCCCTCTCCCACTCCCCCTGCTTGTGTTCCCTCTCTCGCTGTCTCTGTCAAATAAAATCTTTAAAAAGTTTAATCAAAATCTCTCAAATGCCCAGAATTTAAGAATGTTACATTATTCTGCTGAAAACAAGGTAAACACTATAAATTTATTCAATTTTTGGTATAGATACCAAAATTTAAGGCTCTGGTTGTGGCCCACAATGAGAAAAAGAAAGACTGAACACCTATAAAACCTATGATGTTAGAGCAATAATTATACATTAATACATGTAATCTGTCCAGTGAACACAGCATGGAGGTAAGAGAGTAGAACCATTATAACTTCGCTATTCAAAGTATGTAAGTACTTACTTTTTCGTTAGAATCATATCCTGCTGAACAGAGACTACGGGACACCATGAAGTGCTGTCTTGGGTAGTGTGGAACACGCTACAAAAAAAAAAAAAAAGTGATATAAATTACAGATACTTGATGGGCTTTAAAAATATTTTTTTAAGGTAATTCTTCCAGTATGCTTCTACCTAAAATATTTTATCAATATATGGAGTTCTAAGCCACATGCCATAACTGTAGAAGATAAATCATTAACTACAGTCCTATCCCTTGGGCACACAAGAGAAACCTAAAGGCATCAGAAGGATCTGTAGAAAAGTAAAGTAAGAAAAAAAAAAAAGAAAAGAGTCAATGGGTCAATCTTAATTACAGAGAACTGCTGGTTACCACAGGGGAGGGGAATTAAAGAGTGCACTTATGATGAGCACTGGGTGATGCATGGAACTGTTGAATCACTATACCGTACACCTGAAACTAATATAACACTGTTAACTGGAATTTAAAAAAAGGTCAATGGGTTAAATAAAATTTGAAGAAAGGTTTGATTATGCAGACTGACATGGCAGGATCATAAGGTCACATACCACACAGAACTTTATACAACATAAAACAAGAGTCTTGGTCTTTCAGGAGCTTCCATTTTAACAGGGACTGGAAAATAGTATTTTTCGTTTGATGTCTTAAACATGATTTTTTTCTGGTACAGTGAAAAGGTAATAGTAATAATCAATTTCACCTCTAATCCATTATTATAAATGTGGAAAAAATATATCTTAAGGCTTTAAAACATGAAGAATCGTCACTAATAAAATTTATAGTCAAAGGTTTAAGAAAAACAATTTACCCAGTAGTCACTGACAAAGCTAGACCCCCCCCCAAAAAAAAGAAAAGAAAAGAAGGTGGTGGAGAGTGAAAAACAACTAGTACTACCCCTTAGAACTTTCTAAGAGGACAACGCAATTAAGCAAATGTTTTTATAGCAACATTTTTCAATAAACTCAGATTCATATAATTTGTAAAGCATCAAGTCCCAAATTACAAAATGTAATCTTAATACAAAAGTGAAGGTTACAGGGGTGTCTGGGTGGCTCAGCTGGTGAAGCAGCTGCCTTCGGCTCAGGTCATGATCCCAGGGTTCTGGGATGGAGCCCCACATTGGGCTCCCTGCTCAGGGGGGGAGTCTGCTTTTCCCTCTCCCGTTGCCCCTCCCCACCTCCCACCCCCACTTGTACTCTCTCATGCTGGCTAGCTGGCTCACACACACTCTCTCTCTCTCTCAAATAAATAAAACCTTTTTTTAAAAGTGAAGGTAAAAGATACACTTTATACAATGAAGCCCACAGTACCAAGTAAAAGACTAGTTAAGAAAATGGTCCGAGACTGGAAAACTCCGAACGTCCTCCCTTTTAAAGACGGAAACTCACTCTTGCACACCTTCACACATCCCTGTAAGTACAAGAGTATTAGGCCCAATTTTAAAAAATAAGTAAACGGAGTCTAGAGAATTTTAATTTATCAAAAGTCCTCAGGCTAGGCTGCAATGGTTGCAAGATTTAAGCATAGGTCTATTCAAAGCATTCTGGAGCTTATTTTGAGAAAATAAAAAATAACGGCACCTCCCACATTAACACCAATGTCTCTGCAAGGACAGGATTTGAGGAGGAAAAAAAAAAAATTTACCAGGAGGGTCTCACCACTCTCTAGGTGTCCAAATAAAAATTCAGTCTCCACTGCCTTCAGCTGAACAGCTGTAATTTAGCAACTTTACTCCTACATCAGACTTAATAGGATAAAGGCAATACTTCTTTCCTGGAAAAATCAGGTCTTGTGTTTAGAGCCTCAGCCAAAGCAGGAAACAAACTAAGAAAAAAATTCTAAGAGGGCGCCTGGGTGGCTCAGTTGGTTAAGCGCCTGCCTTCGGCTCAGGTCATGATCCTGGAGTCCCGGGATCGAGTCCCACATCGGGCTTCCTGCTCGGCAGGGAGTCTGCTTCTCCCTCTGACCCTCTTCCCTCTCGTGCTTTCTATCTCTCATTCTCTCTCTCTCTCAAATAAACAAATAAAATCTTAAAAAAAAAAATTCTAAGAATAAAGAAAAGCAAAAGCTCCCTGGGAATTTCTCAGATTTACTCTGCTGCAAGGCACCACTGGGATATTTACACAAAGTAAATAGCATACCAGCTTCCTATCCATTTTACAAAATGTAACAACAAAATAGTTTACATTTTTACAAATGCTCCCTAATACTGTAAGGCACACAATGGTCTGCTCCATGAACAGAGCAACATAATCCTTTCACAAAAGACAAAAATCAAACCTGTGTCTTTCATCACTAACAAAGGCTGTAACTGATTCCTGATGGCAAAAACCAAATGCGCCTCTTCCAGAGACAAAACACAACCTGGGATGGGCATTTTAGGTATTCTAATTAGCTTCGGAGAATGAGAACAACAGTGACGTTTATGTCTGGGGAAGGGAACACTTCAAAAAGCAGCCTAACACCCAGCAAAGACCTATGGGAAAAGAAATCTGAATTCTAACCCAAACTCTAGGACTTGAGCAAACCACTCTGACCCCTCGGCTCTCTGCTAAGAAATGAAAGCTTGGATGACTTTTCTATAAGGTCTCTTACTAACCTAAACCACTATTACCCCAAAAACAAGAGTACAGCCCAGGGATATCTAAAAATCCTGACGATCATGAGAGGATATGCAATCAATCCAACCAAAGTCAACATGCAGGCCAAGAATGTGGTGACCTGGATCTCACTGCTTAACTACTCTGAGAGGAACAAACAAAAATGCAGAGCTACTTGGTGGAAATACAGCTAATTTCACAGATTTTAATAAATATGAATTATGAATATGAATTATGCATTGTTTCTAGGTTACCTCTGGGAATAAAAACCTCAGGACTCTATTATATGAGCCCATGAAGGGGCGCCTGGGTGGCTCAGTTGGTTAAGCGACTGCCTTCGGCTCAGGTCATGATCCTGGAGTCCCTGGATCGAGTCCCGCATCGGGCTCCCTGCTCAGCAGGGAGTCTGCTTCTCCCTCTGACCCTCTCTCCTCTCATGTGCTCTCTCTCTCTCTCTCTCTCAAATAAGTAAATAAAATCTTTAAAAAAAAAATAGATGAGCCCATGAAGAATAAGCTAAAAGGAAAGACAGTTTCTCTCCCAGAACCATTCAGAAATCCCAAGTGGCCAAGCTCTGAGCAGTATTTGGGTCAGTTGACTCAATTACACTATACTTACTTTCAGGAAACTACCAGTAACCCAAAACTAAAATAAAGTATGTCTATGCCACAGTTCCTACAACTAAATCCACTCTATTACAAGATACACCTGGCCAAAATGTAGGCCCTGTAGCACTGTACTAAGTGACTGAGCTGGCTTTTTAGAATCTTTTTATTACTATTTAAAATACTTGATTCTGAAGATCTAAGACTCTTACCAGTATATATAAAAAAAAAAAAATAGCTTGTACACATGTGAATTTGTTGTAATGTGGCCCGAAGTATTAAAAAACATGGACTCCCCTGGTTAGCCAAATAACTAGAAGTAGAAATGGTCCAAGCAGAACTATAAAGAAAAAAGTGTTTGGGCCATTTCCACAGTGAGTCTGAACTGGTTTGTAGTTGGCCCCATAAAGGCTATCTCTGTTCCTGTTTACTCCTGGCAGACCTTCATGGAAGCCCAAAGTTATAAAGAACACAGGTCAAAAAATCAGACAATTTTGTAAAGCTACAAGATTAAATTTTTCTATTGATATTTTAATCTCTACGCCCAATGTGGGGTGGAATTCGCAACCCCAAGATCAGAAGTTGCATGCTCCAGCGACTGAGCCAGCCAGATGCCCCTAAATTTTTTTTTTTTTTTTTTTTTTGAGAGACAGAGAGAGTGAGCAGGAGTGGGGAGAGCAACAGAGGGAGGGGGAGAAGCAGGCTCCCCGCTGAGCAGGGAGCCTGATGCAGGGCTCAATCCCAGGACACTGGGATCATGACCTGAGCCATAATTTAAAAAAAAAAAAATACAGAGAACAGGGGCGCCTGGGTGGCTCAGTTGGTTAAGCAACTGCCTTCGGCTCAGGTCATGATCCTGGAGTCCTGGGATCGAGTTCCGCATCGGGCTCCCCACTCAGCGGGGAGTCTGCGTCTCCCTCTGACCCTACCCCCTCTCATGCTCTCTCTCTCATTCTCTCTCTCAAATAAATAAATAAATCTTTAAATACAGAGAACAGTTAGTAGAAATCCGCTAATTTGCACCTCTACAGAGAATTTTATTCTTTTTATTAAGCATACAACAAACTGGCTACAAGTCCAGCCCAAAAAATATTTTAAGTAGGCTCCACACTGGGGGCTTGAACTCACAACCATGAGAACAAGACCAGAGCTGAGATCAAGAGTTGGACACTCAACCAAGTGCACCACCCAGGCACCCCCAGTCCAATTCTTTTAAGGTACTCCTAAAACAAGGAGTCCTAGGGAAAAACCTAAATCAACTCCAATTATAAAGACTATTTAGCCTATCACAGCCAGGAGAAAGGTCAGTGTGTACAAAATGACTTCCCAATAACTCTTACCATTGGTTCTCGTCTACAAGATAAAGATTTCCTATATTTTCCACACTCAGAAAAGAAATGGCTAACGCTGTGGCAAATGGCAAGTAGCAGAACCTTCAGAGTCACAAGACCTGGGTCAGCTCTTAGCTCCACTGCCTCATAGTTATGCACCACTGAGCAAATCATTTATCTGGACCCCAGTTTCCTTTTAATAAAATGTGAAGACACCTCCTGGCTTTCCTACAGTTGTTGAAAGGATCACACAAACCTTTATAAATTGTAAAGCACCAACAAAATGTTAAGAGATGACCCAATAACTAAGTCCAATTATGCAGCTGTCCCCTTCTTAAAGTTGTACCAAACCATTTGGGAGTTACCATTAGAGTAATAATAATCAAGAGCTCTGGTTCAGACTCAGATTTGCACGTTATAGCAAGCACACAATAACTGTTACCCCTAAAAAGGGAGAAACGCTACAGCTTTTCAACAAACTGGTTACAAGCCTACCAGCCATTGCAAAAGGGGAAACAAATATGTTTTT